GTAAACCATAGCATGATGAGATATATTTGATATATATTTGTAAACGATCTGCTGATAAGCAGTTGGGTGGGGCTGGTGCCTGTCCCAGCTATTAGTTGGGCAGAGGCGGGGTCACAGGACTAGCACACAAAGGGGCTCGCTCAGAAGGTAGAGCAGGTCCCCTACTAGTCCTGGTGGTTCGATCCCTGTCTGCTCCAGTCTCCGATGCATCCATCAGAATATGAATGTTAGACAGGAAGCACTTACATAGAATAAGTAGTGTATGAATGGGAGAATGAGGCAAGTTGTACAAAAATGCTTTGGGTACTCAGTTATCTAACCAGCCATTCACACCTATCAGTAACCTGGCAAACATATATATGGGAGGAGGTTTAGAGAGAACCCACCCAGGTACAGGGAGACAATGCAAACTCCACACAGGAGGGCCCCAGCTAGCCAGGACCACAGAAAAGGAGACCTTTCTGTGTGGAGTTTTCATGTTTGCATGGCTTCTTTTGGGGTACCCTGACTTCCTTCCACATACCAAGGACGTGTTAGGTTAATTTGTGATTCTAAATTGGCCACATGTGGGCGTGAATGATTGTCTGTCTCTGTGTGATAGCCCTGCAACAGGCTGATGACCTGTACAGGGTGTGCGCCATCTCTCGTCCAATCACAGCTGGGATAAGCCCCAGTCCCCCTGTGACCCTGATAAATGATTAGAGGATGGATGAATGTGTTGATAAGCTGCTTATTACCAGAATTATCAGTATGTTGTGCAGCACTCGTTTGGCTGTTTTTCAGTATGCAAGATAAAGATGAAAATGTGAAGCAACACATTTGGAGAATTAGCATACAAAAAGAAATCACCTGTAGTTTCTTGAACACTGAAGTCTAAGCGACCTTTAATAAAAGAGCCTCCTCACTCTCCTCACTCTCACGACTCTCGCTCTCCCAGGACCCGTTTGATGCAGAGCTTCAAAGAGTCCCACTCCCATGAGTCCCTGCTTTCTCCCAGCAGTGCCGCTGAGGCCCTGGACCTCACTCTGGACGAGGACGCTATCATCAAACCTGTGCACTCGAGCATCCTGGGACAGGAGTACTGCTTTGAGGTGAGAACTGAGCTGCTCAGCGGAGAGCCCACGGCGCACTCGCACACAACCACAGAGTGTACAGAGCAGTAAATGACACTAAAACTGTTGTTTCCACCCTGACAAGTGAAAGTGATGTGCAATGCAAATAGGATTGCTTTTTTTTTCTTTTCTTTTTAAATGTGAAAATTAAAATAAGGACATTTAAATGAGCCTAAGTCCTCTCAGCTTTTCCATCACCTGTTCATTAGTGGAACATGACAGAGGTTGAGAGTGAATACAAGTCATTATTTTTGGCGCTTTAGTTGCAGTCTCCATAGTGACTAATGGCTGTGGTTGTTGAATTTACCATTGGCTAACCTCAGGTGACTACGGCATCGGGAACCAAGTGCTTTGCGTGTCGCTCAGCTGCAGAGAGAGACAAATGGATCGAGAACCTGCAGAGAGCTGTCAAGCCCAACAAGGTGAGGGGAGAGAAAGGGATGCGGTAGAGGAAGAAAAAAGGATGATCCCTCTGTCTGTGTGTCTCTCTCTCTCCTCCCCGTCTCCCGTTGTTGTGTGTTTTCAATAAGAGCGCACCGCTTCATTTCTCTGTGTGAACTCCATCCTCGTGTCTGTGTGTGTCTGTGTTGAACAATTTAGTGGCTTCTACAAGCAAAATATTAAAGCTGCACAAGGTAATGTCGATGGTGGGAGGACCCAAAATGCTGTTTTGAAAAACCACAAATCAGGTAATGTGATAAGTAAATTGAACACAGCGGGTTGATGTTTACCTGCACAGCATGTCTGTGATACTTTGATAGGGAAGTAAAAGATTTAAC